ATTCCTGGGTCAAGGGCACATGCCCGGGTTGCAGGTTCAAACCCCAGTAAGGGACGTGCAGGAGGAAGCCAATTAATGATTCCCTTTCATCATTGATGTTTCTATTGCTCTTTCCCTTCCCCTCTGAAATCAATTATGTCCTATATAAAAAAGCGTAGTATGCAAATTGTCCTCTCCACCACCAGGGAGTTCAACTGGAGTTGGACCAGGGGGCCTGCGGGGGAAGGGAGGGAGGCCAGGGCAGGCAAGATGGCAGGAGGCACTGGGAGGCAGCGGTGGCAGCGGTAGACCCTACCAGTGCATGAATTTCATGCACTAGGCCTCTAGTATTTTTAATAGTGTCCATGAAAGGTGCAGGAAAGATGGCAGTAGGCCAAAGTTCGAAAACTGGTGGCCGACAGCCAAATAGAACTCTGTTTTGCCTGCTAATGCTATTTTAATAAATGATTTGCCCTAGCTGGTTTGGCTCAGAGGATAGTAAGTTGGCCTGTCACCTGAAGGGTCCCAGGTTCGATTCCGGTCAAGGGCAGGTACCTTGGTTGCAGGCACATCCCTAGTAGGGGGTGTGCAGGAGGCAGCTGAACGATCAGTGATTCTCTCTCATCATTGATGTTTCTATCTCTCTCCCCTCTCCCTTCCTCTCTGAGATCAATAAAAATATATTTTTAAAAAAACAAAATACAGCTCTGACCGGTTTGGCTCAGTGGATAGAGCGTGGGCCTGCGGACTGAAGGGTCCCAGGTTCGATTCCGGTCAAGGGCAGGTACCTTGGTTGCAGGCACATCCCTAGTAGGGGGTGTGCAGGAGGCAGCTGATCGATGTTTCTCTCTCATCAATGTTTCTAACTCTCTATCCCTCTCCCTTCCTCTCTGTAAAAAATGAATAAAATATTTTTAAAATACATGATTTAACTACTGATGTATTTAAATGAGGAGTCTTAAATTCACATTAGAAATCCAAATTTCCAGTTTCTTAGGAAAAATTGGGAGATCCAACCAAGTTAAGCCCATGGACCGCCCCCCTATAAATGCCGTCCTCTTCTAAGCTAGTCTTCAGGCTGGCCACTCATTTACCCCACCTGTATGGTCCCTCTCCAGTGGTTCTCAACCTTCCCAATGCCGCGACCCTTTAATACAGCTCCTCATATTGTTGTGACCCCCAACCATAAAATTATTTTCGTTGCTACTTCATAACTGTAATTTTGCTACTGTTATGACTCGTAATGTAAATATCTGATATGCAGGATGTATTTTGGGTCGCAACTTTAATAAATGATTTGCCCTAGCTGGTTTGGCTCAGAGGATAGTAAGTTGGCCTGTGGACTGAAGGGTCCCAGGTATGATTCTGGTCAAGGGCACATGCCTGGGTTGCGGGCTCAATCCCTAGCAGGGGGTGTGCAGGAGGCAGCTGAACGATCAGTGATTCTCTCTCATCGTTGATGTTTCTATCTCTCTCCCCTCTCCCTTCCTCTCTGAGATCAATAAAAATATATTTTTAAAAAAACAAAATACAGCTCTGACCGGTTTGGCTCAGTGGATAGAGCGTGGGCCTGCGGACTGAAGGGTCCCAGGTTCGATTCCGGTCAAGGGCAGGTACCTTGGTTGCAGGCACATCCCTAGTAGGGGGTGTGCAGGAGGCAGCTGATCGATGTTTCTCTCTCATCAATGTTTCTAACTCTCTATCCCTCTCCCTTCCTCTCTGTAAAAAATGAATAAAATATTTTTAAAATACATGATTTAACTACTGATGTATTTAAATGAGGAGTCTTAAATTCACATTAGAAATCCAAATTTCCAGTTTCTTAGGAAAAATTGGGAGATCCAACCAAGTTAAGCCCATGGACCGCCCCCCTATAAATGCCGTCCTCTTCTAAGCTAGTCTTCAGGCTGGCCACTCATTTACCCCACCTGTATGGTCCCTCTCCAGTGGTTCTCAACCTTCCCAATGCCGCGACCCTTTAATACAGCTCCTCATATTGTTGTGACCCCCAACCATAAAATTATTTTCGTTGCTACTTCATAACTGTAATTTTGCTACTGTTATGACTCGTAATGTAAATATCTGATATGCAGGATGTATTTTTAGGGGTCGCAACCCACAGGTTGAGAACTGCTGCCTAGACATTTGAACCAACGACCCCTGTTATAGATCACAACATGGGACCTTGGTTGGTTGCTCCTTTATTTTATTTTAAGAGGCTTCCCTTTTGAACGAATGAACTTATTCAGGATTAACTGATGAGACATCTTTTCTGGCTCATGTATTTTTAATGAGTCAGACATGTACAACAAGGGTCCTCTGCCACTCCTCTCCCAAGGGGTATACCCTTCCAGAGATTTACTTATATCCATACAAACAAGGACAGGTACATTCCACTAGACTTCCATGAGGTCCGGGATTTTTGTTAGCTACGGTCACTACTGAATCCCCAGCATCTAGAACAGTACTTAGCATATAGGAGGTGATCAGAGGAAAGGCATGTTCAACAGCGGGGACAGGAAATGCAAAGTCAGGGAGGGTCCCCTGAAAGTATAAGGAATGCAAGCAGTTTGGAATGGCTGGAGAGTGGTGGGCAAGAGTTTGATTGAGGTCAGAACTCAAAAGGCTTTTAACTCTCAGCTAAGGAACATGACCTTTTTCCAGAAGGCAATGGGGTGGCTTTAAGCATGGGAGTGGCCAATGTGGGTTGCTCTCGCTATGGTGAAGAGAAGAAACTGGAGCTAGGTAACAGGTCGGGAGATTGAATAGGGGGTCATTAGGACCAGATGCGGGAGGGCAAGGCCTGGGCCAGGGAAGTCTCCACAGGAAAGGGGATCAGAAATCCCACAGGAAGACTAAACATCAGTAACTGATCCCCTTTGGGAAGCCAGAGAGAGAGAAGTTGAGAATAGTATTCTGTGGAATGGAGGTGCCACACACACCCATGGAGTGGAGAAAAGTAGATAAGGGCTCAGGGATGGGAAATCCCAGGGTTGTCTGGGGTCCCTGAGGGGAATATGTGGTCAGAGTTAAAACTGGCATCCATGATGAAGAGGGAGGGGAGGGAGAGGTGTCTCTCAGTAGCAGGAGAGGATGACCTTAGGAAGGGGTCCTGGGCAGAGCCTGTGATTGGGCCTTTGGGGGAAGGAAGATGAACTGTTGGCACTTGGGCTGATGGTGGCCCAGGTCCAACTCCTGGCACCACAAGCACAAATATTCACAGCTTAGCATATCTCTAACTTGATGTGAAACCTTGGGCAACTCACATCTCTCAGTGTCTAGTTCCATGATCTATACGATGGGAATAATGAGAACCACTCACAAAGGGGTTGTGAGGATCAAATGAGGTCAGGATGGGAGAAAACCCTGTAAGTTGTAAAGCCCCCTCTGAAACCAGGCCCAGATCCATGGCACAGCAGACAGGCAGGCAGTCTCCACTCACATCACACACCCCACACCCCCTCAGAGGCACATTTACACTCCTTATCAAAACCACCATGAGCAATGCTCCAGGCCTCCCCCAATAAAAGCCCCATATACACACCAAGTCTGAATGAATCCCTCTGTCTGGGTGGCCTGGAGCAAGGGTCTGGAAGGAGATAAGAGTCAGGGGTGATTTAACTAGGGTAATGCTAGCTGCTATAACAAATAGACCCTAATGTGTGTAATGGTTTGCGGTTTATTTCTCGCTTATATGTAGCAGTCCAAGACTGCTGTTTCTGGTTGATGAGTGGCTTGCCTTTGGGCACTAATGCAGAGACCAAGGTTTCTTCCTTCTTGTGTCTCCACAATCCCCTGGAACCTCATCATCTTCTGTATCCAGCCAGCTAAAGGGAAAAGAGAATGTGGAGAGCATATACTACTTCAGAGCCTTGGTCCAGAAACAGCACACATCATTCCACTCATAGTCAATTGGTGGGAGCTAGTCACATGGCCATACCTTACAGCAAGGGAGCCTGGGAAATTACAGTTTAGCCATGTTCCCAGGAAGTAAAGAACATGAATTTGTGGTGAAGAAAGACTTAGTTTCTGCCACCGAAGGTTTCAGGTCACAGGCCTAGAAAGGGGCAGGGTGTAGAGGGTAGAATATGGAAAAGGGGGTGTCACCTTTTCCTTTAGAGAGAGGGGCCCAAACTGGAGTAATGGATGACTTACGGGCTCTAAGTCCATACTTAAAGTAGTGGGTACATGCATGTTTAAGAAAGAGGCAAACTGAGGATTCTGGCTAAAGGGTCCAAGTTCATCTGGAACTGGGCCAGGCTGAGAGGCAGGGTGGCACTCTTCAGTTGACAGGGCTCTACCGAGGTGGGTGGGATTTGTATGTGAGCGAGGTGAGTGTGAATGCACGTGTGTCTTTGAGCACCGATGCACCTGGTCCATGTCCCTGCCCAGATGGGCGAGCGTGGGCTCACACATGCCTATGTACAGGTGTGCCTGTCACATGTACCTGTCCACAGGACTACGCATTCATATGACTCAACACCAGGTGATCCTTATGAGGGAGAGCCTGTGTGTTTATGACAGGCACACCTGAATGGTCTGTATGTACATGACCATGCATGCAAGGTGTCCGTCTGTCTGCACAATTAGGCACATGCCTGAGAAGTGTCTAGGCACAACTGCCTGGAGGAGGTGTGCTGAATGTGCACAAGCCCAACCCACAGCAGATGTGAGATAAGTGTGTGCTGAGTAAAGTCCACGTGTGGATGGATACGCGGTGCACATGTACACAAGCCCATGGAAGCCCCTGCCGGGGTGTCCAGAGTTGCCTAGGTGTGTGAGCGTGCACTTCTGTGTGCCCAGGCATGACCTTGGAGCTCCCTGGGCAGGGTCAGACCAGCTGAGCTCCTCTCTGGGCACACAGAGGCCTCTGTGTGTGTTGGTGCCTGTGTGGGGCGCTGCAAGGTTGTGTTGGTGGCGTGTGTGTGTGTGTGTGTGTGTGTGTGTGTGTGTGTAGGAAGAAGCTGTTCGCTCTCTTAGACCTTGCTTTTTTCTGTGGTTCCGTTTCTATAGAGACACTTCCTGTGGCAGAGAAAAGAGGTAGTGAGCTGGTCTTTCAGGATGTGAGGGCCCACAGGAGCGGAGCTGGGCTCTCTCCGCCGCCTGCCTGCCGCCCTGCAAGCTCTGGCCTGCGGCGCTGCCCACAGTCCCCATGGTGGGTACCCCCCGTGGCGGGGCCCAGTGAACAGCAGAGGCATGCCAGGGAAGCCCAAGCACCTGGGCGTCCCCAACGGGCGCATGGTGAGTGTAGGCTCCAGGCCAGGCTCTTGGGGAGGGGTGGGCACACCCAGGGTGGAGCCCAGGAGCTCACAGGCAGGGCTGGGCAAGAAGAGCCTGCAGGCTGCTGGTGGGTGGAAAAAGTTGGGTACAGAGAGCAGGTGGTGGGACCTGGTGCCCTCACCCCAGCACCTTCCAGATTGGCCGGCTGGGGACCTGGTCACAGGCTTCTGGGTCCAGCCCTTACTGCTCCCTCTCCTATTGCTTTGGAGCTGCTTGCATCCTAGGGTAGCAGGGACACTTGGCATGCCCCTTGGCCCTGCATACCCCGTGGTGGCCCAAGCCCCCACACCTCACTTAGCCTCAGCCCTCCCCTCCTCACCCCATGTTCTGATGCCCAAGGTCAAGTAAGGGGCAGCCAGCACTGGGTCACTGCCCTGCAGCTGGACCTATTCCACAGGCTTCCTGCCAGCACTGGCAGTCCTTGGGCAGCCTGGGATGGATGCAGCTTGTCTGTTCTATTCTGGGGCTACCAGGAAGGGTAGAGGTAGCTGGGCTGTAGGATGCCCTGGCTGTTGCTGCTGCCCCACCCCCTAAACCCTCTCCCTGGCTGCTTGGCCTCTGGGTCAGAGCTGCCCTTGCAGGTCCAGCTTCTTTACTCACGCAGCAGACGGGGCAGGTTGTGCCGGGCCTCCCTTCTCTCCTAGAATAACCGCCCACTTGGCGGACCCCTACCCCCTCCCAACAACCCCAGAAAGGCCAGACTGTGTCCTAGCCCCTCACCAGGCCCCAGCCTAGCATTACGGAACAAAGCCATTGGGTCTGGAAACCTGGGTTCCATTCTCCCTTACTAGGGGGTCCTCTCTGACCCTCAGTTTCTTCATCTGTAAAATGAGAATAGAACAGATATCAGAGGCTTGTTGAGATGATGAAGTGGAATGGTCACTATGAGCCCCCTGACCCATTATGAGGGCTCCATAAATGTCAGCCCAATCCCACCCCTTCATTCTCAGCCCCTCTTCAAGGATCCCCCGCCTCATCAGGAAACTGAGCCGCCCCCAAACCCACTGCTGCCTCCTAATTCTCAAGATCTGTTTCCATCTCTCCTTCTTCCAGCATCTGCTTATTGCCCAGCCCCAGGCTAGCTGTGTAGGAAGGAGGCAGGTCCCTCCAAGTTAGCCCAGTCGTCCACCTCACTGTTTCTACCATCAAGCTTACTGAAAGTTCAAGAACCCTTGGGCCTCACCCTCCTACCCTGGAGGCATGACACTTGGGTGTCCAGGCCAAGGGGGACCATGCCCACTCCCATGCCCACCCCAGTCGGCAGCGGAGGAGCCTGGAGACAGACTTTACCTGTACCCTTCCCTCATCAATGATGTCTGCTCTGCCCAAAGTCACGGAGAGCGAGGAAGGCACCCAAGCTGTGCGCCCGGCCTCCACAAGCCCACAGGCTTCCCTCTCAGCAACCGGCACACAGGTCTATCTTTGCCCTTCCTGGGCCTGTGCTGAATGTTCTGTGCCACCTTGGGAGTCCCGAGGGCTACGAATTGGCCACTTGCTGGTCATCGAGAGCTTTCTGAGGCCATGTTCAGCTGAAACAGGGAGAGACAGACATGCATTGGCATCTGCAGCAGGGGTGAGCATAGACAGGCACCTGTGAGCTAGGTATCTGGCTCCTTCCATGAATTACCTCCAGCTAGAGGCTCAGAGGAATAAATAACTTGCTGAGGGCAGCTGGCGGATAGAAGGGTCTGCATTTGAACCCGGCTAGTCTGACTCAATACCAGGGCTCCTTTGCCTCCCCAAACTGCTTGGCTCTGTCCTCCCCCTCCCTCCCCAGCTGCCACCCCACCCGCCATCATTCCCTGCAGAGGCAATTTTATTCGTCTGCCTTGTCTTTCTGCCACTCAGCGTGTCAGGCAACTGCAATGAAAGCTGTCACTTAGAGATGACTCTCAGCCCTCTTCCCAGAGATGTCTTCACGCGGCTCCAACCGCCACATCACCTGTTCACTCCTTCATTCAACCCCTCCTTAGGGCCTGCTCCGGGCCACCCCTGCCCCAGGCACTCATGACCCAGGCCCAGCATCCTGTCCCCTGCCCTCAAGCAGCTCCCAGTCTGGCAAGACACAAAAGACATGAGCACAAATGCCTGAATCAAATTCAGGTTTGGGGCAGAGCGCTGGTCAGGGATAGAGAAGGCTAGAGGAGGCCTGGGGAGGGAGAACTGACCTTCTCCCTCCCGTGTGCACTGTGGCAGGGCAGGTGTCCTGAAAGGATGTGCCAGCTGAGGAGGGCATGGCCTGGAGAAAGGCCCAGACATGGGAAACGCTGGGAGGGGTGGTTATTGTGTCTGTCAATCCCCAGAGGCCTGGTTAATCGTCCCCACCCGACAAGGAGACCGGCAAGGCACAGCCCACTCTCCCTCTGGACCAGCGGTTCTCAACCTGTGGGTCTTGACCCCTTTGGGGGTCGAACGACCCTTTCACAAGCGTCGCCTAAGACCATCAGAAAACACATCTATAATTACATATTGTTTTTGTGATTCATCACTATGCTTTAATGATGTTCAATTTGTAACAATGAAATTGGGGGTCACCACAACATGAGGAACTGTATTAAAGGGTCGCGGCATTAGGAAGGTTGAGAACCACTGCTCTGGACCATCCATCTCAGGGCCAGGCCCTGAGTGACAGGTGGCCTTACCGAGGGGCCAAGTCTGGGGTTGGGTCCATAGGGCTGGCTCAGACTGAAGGGGCCAGGCTCCTAGGGTTCTCTGTGGGTGTCTCTGGGCCTCTTTCCCCAAGTTAGAATGAGATGAGATGATGGTACAGAGTGCCCAGCACAGAGGACACTCAGTAAATTGACCCTCCCTTTGAGGGTCTGACCTCTCCAGGGTCCGGGTTCATGAGGAGCCACTGGGCCCTATACCCCCAATTGACCTTGCCCACCTGTGGCCCAAGGGCTGAGGCCCTGGGCCTCCCAGCTCCCCTGGGATGTCTCCTTTCCATCCTGGGAGGCAACTTAGTGGAGGGGAGACCTCAGACTCCAGAGTCAGGCGCACTCGGGTTCCGATTTCAGCCCAGCCACCTCGCAGCCGCGTGACTTCTGGGGCCTAGGTTTCCTCACCTGTGACATGGGAGTAAAAGTAGCTGCCGCACAGGACCAGGATGTGAGGAAGGCATGAGAGCAAGGACAGTAACAGTAGCTGCCGCACAGGACCAGGATGTGAGGATGGCGTGAGAGCAAGGACACGGACTGTCAGAGAGTGCCGGTCACACACGGGAGCTCAGGAAACCGGCCACCCTCACCTCAGTGTGCTGAGTCCAGCGGCTGCCCCAGGGCCCATCTCCTAAGAAAAAGTATGGCAGGCTGAGGCCCGACCATGGGTTGGGGATGCCACTGGCCACCACACCCTTCCTCATCCTCTCTTCCCCTTTTCTCCCCATTCACTCACCACTTCTCCTCAGGCAGGCCGGGTGGGGCCAGGCCAGCCCTGCTCAGCTCGATTTCCCCGGGCCTGGGAGCCTGGGCAGGTAGAAGCCGGAGCATCAGCATGTCAGCGGAGCCCGGACCACCACAGGCCGGCTGCTTTCACATATGGGCCTCATCTGCCCTTCCCAGCAGCCCCAGCATGTTGGGAATGCTGAGCCACATGCTACCCAGGGGGAAACTGAGGCCCAGAGAAGGGAAGTTACTTGCCCCAGAATAGTGGAACTGGAACTGGACTCCATCTCCACCCTCTCCCACCTCTGATCTCCGTCCCTATCCTGCCTTGACCTCAACCACAAAGATCAACAACCAGTGGGGCAGGAGGGGTTCAGGAAGGTGAACTGCAGGCTTCAGAGATGGGGTGTTCATGTGGAGCATCCCTGGTGGGGAAGGGGTGCTGGGGCCCCCTGGGGGTGCAGAGGAGGGCTACTTGGGAGCACTGGGGCAAGGAAGGGTCTTCGTGGAATGGAGTTCAGGTTGGTTCCCTCCTACAACCCAGGCCTGCCCCCTTGATGCTACGAGACTGATGAGGGAAGACGCCCAGAAATGGGTGGGTAGAAGCTGGGTGGGCAGGGGGTGTCGGGCAGCTGGTATTTGGGGGAGACTGATGTCAGTGGGCAGAGATTGGAGAGCTGTTGGCTAGGGGAGCAGGAGAAGATACCAGGCAGAGGAAAGAGCAAAGGGGGAAGCAGGAGTCTGTAGGGGTGAGGGGAAAGGTCTGATAAAGTGCAGGGTGGAGGTGAGGGAGGGGAAAGAGGGAGGCTGAGGGGGGTCATTTGCCAGGCCCACCCAGGGCTTCAGCTATAACTCAGCACCTGCTCGGCCTCCCGGGGCAGGGAGTGGGGCCTGCGGAGGATCTGGGAGCTGGCTCCACCTAAAGACACAGAAAATCAATTCAACCCAGTGCAAACAAACTAGGCATGAGGGCTGGCTCCCGTGTGGGAACCTTTGCCCTCTCTGAGGCCCTGGCCTGGCCCCTGCAGTCATGGGGGCTCTGCCCAGGTTGGAGGACAGGCCAGAGGAGGCCAGTGGGTACAGGAGGAGGCAGGACCAAGTGGCACCCCTGGAGGGGTGGGGAGTCAGGATGGTTCCCAGAGACCTGCGGGGAGGGCTCTGACCGTGGCGATGAGGCTGGGAACAGCTGCAGAGCAGCCTGGGCAGGCAGGTGCCAGGAAGGGAAAGAGCAGGCTGGAAGGGACGGGTCGTCCTCACACATCCCAGCAGTTGGGACTTTCTCCTGCCGCTGTGGGAGATGACTCAGATGAAACCGTTAGATGGGACAGAGCAAAGGCAGGAGGGTGAGGGCTGGGCGGGGTGCGCTCGGAGCCGATTCCAGGCCCAGCCATGCCCTGCGAAAACTTTCCCTCCTCCTCCGCAGTATCTGATCCTAGTGCTCCTGGTGGGAAAGGAGGCTCCGGGAGGAGACCACGGATATGAAACTAGAAAAGGCTGGGATTTGAATCTGTGCTCTCTCCTCTATGGCAGGGCTCACAAACTTGAAAGTGGGAGCAGGGTCAGACACCAATACTAATACAACAACAACAACCTTATTGTTGTCAATATTATTTACATATGCCAGATAGTGTCCTGAGTTCTTTATATATATTTAACTTATTTAATCACAGCAACCCTTTGAAGTCAGGACCTTTATTTGCTCCATTTGTATAGAAGAAACTGAGGCACAGAGAGGTGAGGTACCCTGTCCAAGTCACACAGTCTGGGGCAGCACCTGCTTCCATAAGTAACATCAATACATCAAACTGGCCCCAGGGACCGAGGAGAGCCTGAGCTCCTTCTTTTTTAAAAAAAAAAAAATTGATTTCAGAGAGGAAGGGAGAGGGAGAGGGAGATAGAGACATCAATGATGAGAATCACTGATAGGCTGCCTCCTACACGCGCCCTATTGGGGACCAAGCATGCAACCTGGGCATGTGCCCTTGACTAGAATCAAACCCAGGACCCTTCAGTCCGCAGGCTGACGCTCTATCCACTGAGCCAAAGAGGGCATGAGCCCCTTTTGACACTGGCTGCTGCTCAGTGCCAGCCAAGGTTGCCATGCTGGAAGGACTCAGGTAGCTGGGGCATTATAGTCTTAAAGGGGAGACAGACAGCTGGGGTTTTCTGTAAAACTCCTGATTTTTTTAAATGTTTTTATTGATTTTAGAGAGGGAGAGAGAGAGAGAGAGATATTAATTGAGTGCCTCCTGCATGCTCCCTACTGGGGATGGAGCCCAAAACCCAGGCATGTGTCCTGACCAGGAATTGAACCAGCAACCTTTCAGTGCACAGGAGGATGCCCAACCAACTGAGCCACATTGGCCAGGGCCAAACTCCTGATTTCTAAATGTGGGAAACCACTTCAAACTTAAAAGAAAAAAACACATTTTGAGGACCAAGGTATTAGTAATGTCCTACATATCTGCAAGCCAGCTCTGGCCCACCTCTGTCTGTGACCTGAGTGCCCAGGTGCAAGTGGGGCATAGAGGGGACTGCAGCCAGAGCGGGAGGGCAGGGAGCGGCTTCCTGGGGGAGGGGTCTTTGCAGACTTGTTTCCAGTGGGGACGGGAAGAAGGCACAGGTGGTGGAGGCTCCTGTTCCAGGGCCTTGTGAACATGTAGGAGGTGAGAGGGTGGGAGAAATCGGGGATGACTCAAGCCCTGATGCTGGGAGCTCAGGTGATGAGAAGAAAGGCAGGGTGCAGGGAAACGAGTTGGGTGCCCTGCTGTGGTGGTGGCAGAGGTGGCTTCCACTGGGGACCCGATGAATGTGAAGCGCGTGAGGGACTTTGGGCGGAGATGTTAGCGGAAGCTGGCTGTGTGTGTTTGGAGCTGGGGATATATGGGTGGGAGAAAGGGCCCAGGACAGAGTAAGGGAGGGGTATCGGCCACCTCCCGTGGGTAGGAGATGATGAGGAAGCTGGAGGAGCTGCTAGGAAGGTAGGTAGACCAAGCAAGAGTCATTTGGAAAGGAGGGTTTTCCTGTTCCACTAATGATTGGGATTCCCAGAGATGCTGGAGTTGTGTGTGGAGGGAAGGAGGGGGATGGAGTTGGTCTCTACAGCAATGCCACTCGCAGTGTGGTCCATGGACCAGCAGTGTCAGCATCACCCAGGAGCTTGTTAGCAACGGCCCCATCCTGGACCTACTGCACTGGAATCCCTGGAGGTGGAGCCCTCCCAGGCTCTCTCAAGCACACTGAAGCTTGAGGACCACTGCTCTGTACTATAAAATAGTTTCCTGTGCCCTGCCCAAGGGGGTGGGACACAAGGGAGACCCTGGGCCCCAAAAGGAAACAGTTGCCATAAGGAAATCATCAGTTTTAGAGGCATCTCTCCTTCCTCAAAGACAACATGGACATGGCACTTACCGCATGCCGGCCACTGTTCCCGATGCTGCAAATACTTTAAACTGATTTGGTCCTCACAACAGTCCCAGGAAGTGAGTTACTATTATTATCATCGTCCCCTATTAGCAGATGGAGACAAACAAGTAACTTGCCCAAAGTCATACAGCTAGTAAGTGGCAGAGACAGGACGCAAAGCCTACCCACCATGCTGTATACCTGGGCTTACCCAGCAGGCGCCGGAGGAGGGAGCCAGGGGCACCTGGAGGACACCAGCACACAGGGAAGGGGCACATGATGGAAGGGGGCCTGGGGACAGCCTAAGCAACACCTCGAACAAGCAGTGGCCTGGCTGGGAATGCCCAGCACGGTCCTCCAGGCAGAAGAGAACATAGCTCCAGTCTGTGGACTGGTCCCAGGACTGTTCTTTGAGAATCCGTCCTGGGCTGCACTCTGATTTTCTACCTCGGATCTCTTGTAGGTTTTGGCTGTCTCCGATGGAGGTAAGTGACCAGCCGGTGGAGGAAACCTGGCTGGGGGGGGCGGTAATGTGAAAATGGGGTGGGATACCCCTGCCACTTGCTATCTTTTCCGGGGAAAGGATCTGCACATGGGGTTGGGCCAAGGGGAAGGCTGCAAAGCTCACATCCACTTGTCTATCCCCCTGCAGAGCTGAGCAGCACGGTGGGACCCCAGGACCAGAGCGAGGGCCGAGGCAGCTCCCTCAGCATCCACAGCCTCCCCAGTGGCCCCAGCAGCCCCTTCCCCACTGAGGAGCAGCCTGTGGCCAGCTGGGGCCTGTCCTTCGAGCGGCTGTTGCAGGACCCGCTGGGCCTGGCTTACTTCACGGTAATCCCTGGAGTGGGATAGGGAGGGTGGATGGCAGTGGGGCTGGGGGTATGGGCAGAGCTTCAGGCTGGCCAGTGGGACTCCTCTGTCAGCTGCCTCCTCCACAGCTTTGCGTTGGCACCTTTTTCCTCCTTTCCCAGCGGGCACTTTGCTTCTCCCTGCCCTTGTCTCCGCCTCTCATTTTCTCTCTCTGCTCCGAATCTGGCCCCGTCTGTTTGTCTGGCACCATCATCTGTTTGTCTGGCACTATGGGTCTGGCTTGGCCTCTTAGCCCTGAGGCTCTATCGGATAGAGTCTATCCCAATCTCTTTGACCACATCCCCTGACTGGGTCTCGGACCTTAACCACCCGCCCCAGGAGTTCCTGAAGAAGGAGTTCAGTGCTGAGAACCTGACTTTCTGGAAGGCCTGCGAGCGCTTCCAGCAGATCCCTTGAAGCGACACCCAGCAGGTGCGGGTATCGGGTATCGGGGAGCTGAGGCGGAGGGAGAGCTGGGACCAGGGCCTGGGCGGTGCCCCTGACTGTTTCCTGTCCCGCCTGCCCCAGCTGGCTCAGGAGGCCCGCAACATCTACCAGGAGTTCCTGTCCAGCCAGGCGCTGAGCCCCGTGAACATCGACCGGCAGGCCTGGGTGGGTGAGGAGATGCTGGCTGAGCCGCGACCCGACATGTTCCGGGCACAGCAGCTGCAGGTGAGAGGGAGGGGCCTCGGAAGGGACCACGTGGAGAAGAGGCGGGGCCCGATCCAGGGGCGGAGCCTGAGCGGCGCAGGGTCGGGGATGAGCGGTGGGCAGGGGAAATGTGGTTGTGGGCTTGGGGACAAATAAATAGGGGGCGGGGCCCTGTTCAGAGGTAGGCTGTGGTGACGGGGAGGGTCAGGGGCGGGACGCAGCAAAGGCAGTGGCGGTACTTAGTTGAGATGTGAGCGGGGCCAGGAGCAGGGGCGGGGCCGGGGCCTTGGAGGCGGGTGGGGAGGGCTCGGGGCTCCCTCCCTAGTTGGAGACCAGGCCAACCCCGGGAGCCCGGCGGGACGCGAGCTCACCGTCGAGGCGCCTGTCCCCGTAGATCTTCAACTTGATGAAGTTCGACAGCTACGCGCGCTTCGTCAAGTCTCCGCTGTACCGCGAGTGCCTTCTGGCGGAGGCCCAGGGTCGCCCCCTACGGGAACCTGACTCCTTGCGCCTCGGCAGCCCCGACGCCACCAGGAAGGTGCGGACGATGGGCTACGGGGGGCAGGGGGCCCGGTGCGGATCTGCGGGGCTGCTCGGGGTCTGCATGCGGTGCCAGTGCCTCCCCTGTACCTGCAGAAGCCGAAGCTGAAGCCCGGGATGTCGCTGCCGCCGGCCGAGGGCCCTGGGGGCCGCCCGCTCCGCAAGTCCTTCCGCAGGGGTGAGAGCTGGAGCTGGCCTCAGAGAAGAGCGGGGGCGGGAGTTTAGGCAAGCCTTGAGAATGCCCCCTCCTCCTACCTGTCCTCAGTCTGTACGTTTGTGAAAACCGAGATAAATGCAGGTCCCGGTGGCCACCACGTTCCCCAGGTGGTTTGGTTCCCAGGTTAGACCCCAAAAGTCTGGGAAGCTCCCTCAGTAGCGATGCTTGCAGGAACCCAAACCACGTTAGACCCATGCAAGGGCGCTCCAACGGGGTCCCCCGGCAGGGGACAGGCCTCAGCGGAGGGATGAGCGCGGGGAGGAGGCTGCCCTGCTTATTGCTCTCTCTCCCCTAGAACTGTCGGGCACCGCAGCAAATTCGGCCTTGCGACAAGAGTGCCAGGGCTCCCTCAGCTCCTCCGCCAGTCTGGACCTGGGCTTCCTCGCCTTCCTCAACAGCAAATCTGAGGTAAGCATCTGCTGGGGAGGGGGGGGACAAAGTGTGGGCTAGGGCCCCTTTGTGTGGCCACCATCATTCCTAGCCACCACCCCACATCCATGTCCCCAGCTTGCTCCCCACAGCCAGCCCCTCCATCTCCTTACTTTCTACCTGTCCTCACCGTATTGGGCTCCATGCATAGCATGGGTGCACCTCCTCTTCAGCCAATGTGTGTGCCCGATGTACACAGTATGTGTGTGTGTGGGGGGGGAGGCAGTGGGTGGACCTGCCTCTGGGTGCCCATATGCCTAGTTGAGCATACAGTACATGTGTTCCTGTAAGAGGACAGGTGTGCTCTTGGGGGGGGGGTGGTGCATGCGTGCATGTATGTGTCCCAGTGAGCTCACCTGTCTGTGGACCTGTCTGAATGTGTACACACGACCTCCTCACCACTCCTGCCCTGAATTAGAGCCACCGGAAGAGCCTTGGGAGCTCAGAAGGTGAGAGTGAAAGCCGGCAGGGGAAGTATTGCTGCGTGTACCTGCCAGATGGCACAGCCTCCTTGGTCCTGGCCCGACCTGGCCTCACCATCCGGGCCATGCTGGCAGGCATCTGTGAGAAGCGAGGCCTCTCTCTACCTGACATCAAGGTCTACCTGGTGGGCAACGAGCAGGTGCGCACTTGGTCTGGTCCCCAACTCTCACTCCCTTCCTGATCCTGATCCCAACCCCATTCCTGTCTCTGCTCAGCTGTGACCACAACTCCACTTCCATTCCTAATCCCCTGGACCACTAATTCCAATTCCATCCCATATCCTCACCCGCTTCCTAACTCCAGCCCCTACCCACCCTACCCCTGTCTCATGCCCAACTCCCAATCAACTCAGCACCAACTCCTCACTTAAACTCAGATATCCACTCTCAGCCTCCAAAAATCTTGCCCCCCCTCACCCCTAACATCCCTCACCCCCCCAGCCCATCCTGCTTTCCAGCTTCACCCATCCTCCTCACTGATGGCTTCTGGGATGTCGAGCAGGGAGAACCCCTGTGGAGGAAGGTTTTTCTGCAGCACTCCCAGCTCAGACTGCCCATCCCTGAAATGGCCATTTGGGGGAGCCCTCACCTCCTCTGCTACTAGGAGCACCCAAATGCACCTATCTATGAAAGCTTTCCTTTAGGTGCAAATTAGCATAGCTTTAAAGAGGGGTCTAGGGGAAAACTCACTTTAAAGTAAGGCTTCCAGTAAGGGGGGTTCTAAACTAAGACTGCTGCATCCCAGAAGACCTGTCGGGTTTCATTCACCCAGTAGATAAGGCTTAAGGCCCTGCCAGGTGGGTGGGCAGAGAGACCTGGGCCTAAGCTCTGTCCTCCAAGTCCACTGGCTGGAGGTGAGCCAGACAGGATGTGATCAGGGAGGAGTGGAACCCCCCCCCCCCTCCAGGGTTGCTGGGGTGAGGTAGGCATTCCTGGTTGGTTGCAGGAAGGTTTCCTGGAAGAGGCAGCAGTTGAGGAGGAGGAGGAGGAGGAGCTGTGGGGGGAGTGAAGGCCTGGAGGTGGGTAAGAAGTTCAGGGCATGTTCAGGGGCCCAGAGCGTGGGAGTGTGAGGGCAGGAGAGGGAAGAGCTCTGCCCCTTCTCTCAAGCCTCCAGAGCAGCCTCCACACCCAGACGGACTTTCACGTCTGCTAAATATATCTTCACCACCCACACTCCACCTGTCCCTGCGGCTCAGCACAGGCCCACGGGGAGGGAGAGGCTGCCTCCCTGCCCTGGGCTGTACAGGTAGCAGAGCCTCTGGGAGCAGTAACCCCTACAGCTACTGTTTATGTACCTACTGTGTGCCAGACACTTCACATCCTCCAGTCCTCACAGCAGACATGGGGGGGAAGAGCCCTTTTTGCAGCGAGGACACAAGAAGTGTCCTTAATAGGTGGGGCTGGAGAGAAGTGGACAAATGTCCAAAAAGGGACAAGGCCTGGATAGCTGCCCAAAGGCGGGTGTTGAAGGAGGAAATGCGTCCAGCTGGTCTGGGTGGGATTCACATGCCTGAGGGACAAGGGGCAGCTGTCCAGGAGGCAGACCCTGTCCTGGACCAGGAAGAGGCGCCATATGATCTAGGACCTAAGCCTGCCCCTTGCCCAAACAACCCCATTACCATTTCTTCGCCCTCCCTGCCTCCCAGGTCTCCCTTCCTTTTGCAATCTGTCCAGCAATCTTGCCACCCTTCTCCCTGGCCTTGGCCATACCAGACTCCGCCTCCAGCCAGGTTTCTACCGCATCCTCATCTGTACCTCTCACCTGCCCATCCGCCCTTCCCTCTAAACTTCAGGGCAGCCCCTAAAGACGTGTAGGTGGTTCCCGGGGACAGCGGGGATAGCGAGGGGTGGGGGCGGACTCAGACCCTGCCTGGCGTCTGCAGAAGGCCCTGGTCCTGGATCAGGACTGCACCGTGCTGGCGGACCAGGAAGTGAGGCTGGAAAACAGGATCACCTTCCAGTGAGTGCCCCTCCCGCGAGGCCTGGGTTGGGGTCGGTGTTCAAGCCACTGTTCTTCCCTGCGGGCCCTTCCCCTGGTGCTAACACCTCTCCCGGGACTAAGTCCCCACCCGCAAGCTGGCCCGGCTCCCCGGTTCAGGCCCCGCCTCCTCCCGGGGCTGGCGGGTGTGGGTGGGGAGGAGAGGCGGGGCCGGCCCCCCGCCC